TGCCCTGCACGGTGCTGCCATACACCGTGGTCGCACCAGCAGGATTGCTTGAGCCGCTAGAAGATGCCTCTTCGTCGCTGCTAGCTTCCATCTCCAGCGGGCCCTTCTCCATGCTCTCCTTCGCCATCGAGTCACCACTGGGTGCATCCAGGCTGGATGATGCAGCCACTCCCTCAACGGTTGGTCCAGGACGATCACCACCAGGCACCTCATTTGCTGAAGATGCAGTGGCGGCCACTGGTGAAGCCTTGGCTGAAGCCGGCGCCGATGACCATGTTCCCTCCATAGCCTTGGCTGAAGCCGGTGTTGGCGTTCTCATGTTCTCATGTCTTGTTTGGTTGAGTTTCCTATAGTACTTTCCTGTACATAGATTCCATGAAGTGGTGCTGGCATATATCTACGTGAATAGATGCATGTGCATATATGGCCAGGTGGTATGTGAATATGTATGCGCGCATATATGTTCAAAAGGTTTTTGGTTTTGATGCTGTACTCTTTCCATTTGGGGTGGTAAAAACATTTGCAGTTGCAGCTTCATGAGCCAGCTACAACGAACAAGCGCACATGGTGTTGCATGAACAGTGGATATGGGGACAGCGGCCCTGGGGACGCTCGAAAACATGGTGATTGCTGCCCTGGTTGCCCTTGGTTAAGCTTGAAACTGGAAAACACGTTGTAAGGACAGAATAAGGAGAACAACCTTGAACTGTGAAGCGTGAACAGGGTTGAACACAGGTTCTGTACAAAGCCCTGACCTTTGGTGGAGCCACAAAACCTTGAACCCAGCAAACATCTTAAGAGCACAGTTCTTTGATGGGGACCAAAACCTGCTTACGACCCTATATATTCAATTGTTTATATATTTTTATTTGATATATATATATATATATATGTTATATATATATATAGTTTTTTTTATCCAAAGCATCTTGCGGTATAAAGCGTCCCGAAGGCCGCTGTGCATACTTTATATTATATATACACCAAACACCAAAAAAAACATCTGTTCGACAATGCTCAACAGCGTTTCATCACTGTACAAAAACTTCAAAAACTCGGGGCCCCAATCTGCAGAAACCTCTCACGCTTTCATGGACGATGCAGCTGCTGGTCGCTTCCTGGGTAGCTGTTTCGTTGTGGCGGCTTTCGGCTTGGTGGCCGCCACTTTTCCTGTCTTTTTGACAGGTAGTGTCTTGAAAGGAGCTTTTGGCTTATCATCTCCAGGCTCATCTCCAGTTCCAGGCTCATTGCTGTCAGGTTCATCCATCGCTTCATTGTCAGATGCGTCCACCTCGCGAGGTTTGGCCAGGAGCATGGTGTGAGGCTGGGTCATTCCCAGCACCAGGCCACACTCTGGTCATAGAGCGTGATCTCAAGGTTCACCTTGTACGCCACGCAAGTCCTCACGGTCACAAAGAAGGCGTCTCGGTGGCTAGAATAGGCACAGCTGTTCACCCGCTTGTTGCCAACGGGCCCAAGACGAGCCCACCTGTCACCGAAATCCAACTCAGTCTGGTAGTCCACACCGCGAGGCACAAGGCGGACTTGCCACTTGGAATCAGTGTTCATGGCCATGGATGACGTCAAGACAGGCGTGTTTGCAAAAAGTGGTCGATGGCAAAAGCTTGATGCAAGCACAAATGACATGAGCAATGAACAACAATACAAACGCAGAACATCCGACAATGACAATCGAAGTGGTGAGTTATTTGGTCTTATCTGCCGATTGCTCACAAGAGTGGACATTGTTTTCATTGCAACAGCCGCTATGCGAAAGTGGTAGACAATCGAATTCATCAATTAACTGATGGTTCAAATTAAATTGAATTACCACAAGGCCGCTTCAACTCAGTGAAGCTTTGAACCAAAACTCAATCAGAACCACTGTCAGAGTCAGAGCCATTTCTGGGGGCCACATACATACAGCGCCGGCGCAGTTCAGATCTAATCATCCTTGCCAGACGATGAGCGGCATGTTGTTCCTGAGAGTTCCAACATAAGCGTGCTTTGCCAAGGTAAACATGCTGACTCAAAGAACAAAACGTCCAACTTACTAGCTGCCATATTACACACTAAAGACCCAACATTGTTGGCCACTACAAACATTTGCCTATTTGCCTGTATTGCATCCCAGAAACTGAAGCCATGAGGTGATAGTAGTGCTTACGAAGTCTGAGCACACCCATCGATTGCAAAAGGTTCCATTGAACCTCAATCGCATTCATGTCAAATTGGTTTTGTCTGCGTAGAGCAGGGGGAGCCTTGCGGATTGGCAAAGAGGGCATGGCGGTGAAAAGCCAGGCGAGAAGGCAATGAATGTATGCCTTTTGAACGAAACTCTGATGGTTATCAGTCATGCACCTGTGGCATCAGAGTCTACACATGTCTGCACAGCAACCGTACAAGCGCACGTAAAAACAAGAAGTGACACCTATAGGGTTGCACTGCTCGGTATGAGGTTGAGGTTGCTTCAACTATAGCGTCCCGAAGGCCGCTGTATCTAGAACACACCTGGCCTTTCAAGATCATTTCTTGTTCGAGGCATCTTTGACTTGAATTAATTTCGATATTATGGGTGCTTGCTTGTGGCAAAGGACCACAGGCCAAGCAAATCAAATTGATGGGAACACGGCGACGGTGAAACTCAGCATCACTTGGTCTTACCCTTGGCCTTCGTAACCACCTTCAGCAATTGGTCTGCCTGGGAAACGGTGGCTTTGTATCCCTTGAGCATCTGGGCCAAGGACTTGTTGTCAAAGCTCAGGCCACTAAGTTCTTCGTTTGGCTCCAACACTTTCTGGCCGACTTGACTCTCCTGGGTGAGGGCATCGATCTCCTGCAGGAGCTGCTCCAATTCCCTCACGCTCCAAGTGGGCAGGAAGTCCTTGTTGGCCATGCACTTCGTTGCTGATTCTGAGACTGGGCCAAAAAGGGTTACTGCTCGGATTGCCAGCTTCTGCACATCCTTGTTGTGCTTCTTACGCATTTTGTCTCGGTGCTTCAACTCAGCCTCAGTGAAGTCTGGCTCCTGCGGTTCAGCCATCTCATCAGCACTGCGCTTTTGCGGACTGGCGGCTTTCATCCATTCCAGTTGGAGGGAGTCAGCGGCATCCTTATCTTCAATGCCACTTTCAAGAGCTTGACTTGGATTTGAACCATTCACTGGCTGCACTGTCTTGGTGTTCTTCTTGCGCCGACAATCAGCTTCAAACTTGGAGATCATCTCTTCAATCCTTTCTTTGTGGAACTCTTTGCTGATAGTGCGAAGAGGTACGCTCCAAACTTCTCCAAAGATTGGATGAGATTCGCACTTGCCTTTGCGGATATCTGACTCCAAGAACCCACGACCGACAAAGGCAAGGCCTCTGAAGAGTATGTCACCTTGGCTATCTCCTTGTTGGCTTCCACCATGGTCATGGTCAAAGATGCCCTCAAGTGTTGGTAGTCTAGTCGACCTTGCTGATTTGCGATGTCAGAGCACTTTCTCCAAAAAGCCAACTGCGCCTCAGGTTCAAGACCAGTAAAGCTTGGAAGTGGCCATCCAAGGTGTCTTGAGAGCATGGTAGTCGCATTGTTGCAAACTCGACAGATCACCACAGGTCTCTCTTCTCCCTTGGTCTTGTTCTTCATGATGGCCTTGGTGGCATCAACTGGCATTTGACATTTTTTGCACAACATGGCATTCTGCAGGGACTCCAACTGTTCCCAAACTCCAGCAGGCTCATACTTTGCAACCGCTTCATTTTGCAATGAGTTGGCACCATCTTCGTACGGCTGGGTTGCTCCAGTGAACACGCGCTGGGAGTCAACTGTCTTGATGAACTCTTCCAAGTCTGCTTGTCCCTTTTTCGCAGCTGCAGTATCCAACCCACCGACCGACTCTGAGAACGAGTCTGGATCTTGACTGTCTGGAACCTCGACAGTCTGAGGCATCTCCATGGCGGTCTGAGAAAAAATACCGAAGTCGTAACTTCTCAAACCAAAAAGCTGCTGTGAAGTGCGTTAACTGAAGTGGTTTGCTTGAGTGACACATCAAACAGAAAATATGGAAAAGGTAAAAACAATTATGTTGATTGATCATAGCGCAGAGAATTCATCAAGATCTAGATTCTTACATATATGTTCAAAATATAAATATATATAATATATATATCAATTATGCGCAATATCATATGACTATGTTTTGGATGCATCTGGATGTATCTGGCTCATTATGGGGTTACACCCAGGTCACCAGATACATCCAGATACATCCAGATACATTCAAGTACCTTCAGCACATGAACACAGTAAAGCGTCCCGAAGGCCGCTGTACATGGAAGAAATTGTTTTCCAGCGCGCTAACTGGAAATCGGTCATTCGCTAACTGAAAATCTTGGCTTGAGGTTTTCCAGGTTGATCTTCATCAGGCGAAGGTAGGGAAGGCTCCTGGGATGTAGTCGATTCAATTCCATTTCCGCGTAGCAGCTCTTGCGCCAGCTGGATCTGCAATTGCAGAATCGATGGCGTTGACATTGCGCGTAGGGCATCACAAGAGTTCATGGCTGCTCTTTGTTTCCTGCAAGCCCTCACTCCTTGAGAAAACAAACAAGTGAGGTTAGTTTGGAATGCAAGCTATCGAACACGTTCTTCTGGTGAGACCCCATGATTCACCATATGCATGCAGCTGCATACATTCTGACTATAGCTTGTACAAAAACCTGGAGCAACACACGCACAAACAATACATAGAAGTGCTCACCAGCGGCTTCAACAGCGTCCCTAAAGGCCGCTGGATATCAGAGACATCTGTTTTCGGGCTCCGGGCTCCTCCAAAGGGACTTCATCTAGCAACTGACTTTAAATTTGTCCTCGCGTTGCCACCAAAGTGTTGGCCACAACATGTGTCTAATGAATTGTTCAACACTAAAAACACTTACATTGCTTGTGAGTGTCCACTCACTGAAGTGCCAAGGGTCCTCTTCTGCATGTTTCACACAGTTGAGGTCGTCCATTAGCACAGCAAATTCAGGCTCTTTGCCATTTGACCAAAGAATTTCAACGCGCGAAATGATACGGCCACCCTTTTGCACATCATTGTCAAACAAACAAATGTCACCAGCGCAAATTGTTTGCCCCAAGTAGTGCAAACTGTTGCCCTTGAAGACCGTCGTAGCACCAATCCTTTCAGCAAATAGTGGCTCTGACTGTTTGTGTTCAAGGTGCTTCTCCTTGAAGGCGCACAACTCAAGCTCTTGGACGGCAAGGAGCTTGACCAGCACAGAAGACTCGAACGTTTCATTGCTGGGATAGTTGCGCGCCACATCCTTGTAAAGCCGATGCTTGCGCTCATGCACCCAAGTGTCAAGCACACTTGCTTGTTGGTCCATACTTTCTGCCGCATGGAATGCAAAGTGGTGTTTGGGAACAACATTGCTTCCGCCATAGGCCTTCACAAATGATTGAATGTATTGGCTGACCTTCGGGATCAGGAAGTCAGATATTCTCCCGCAGAGTCTGCACTTCTTGGCTTTCAATCTGAAATACCAACGGCTGAGCGCGCGCAAGCAAAACAAGGATTCCTTGGCAGGCGCGATGGCAGCCAAGTCTCCCACCACCAAGTCAGCAAACACTTCCATGATATACAATGCAAGCACAGTCTGACTCGCGTCACCAGAGTACAAGGTCTTCTCCATAAGTCGGGGATCGAAGAGCTTTTTCAGCATGGATTTGCCGACATGAAGGGACTTCCTGAAGGTGTAGCCTCCGTTTGCAAACGAGGTGAGATCTTTCAGGACGATGTTTGTGCGTTTGGTCACCACCTCCCAAAACAATGTCAGCTCACGACTTGCAACACCGTTTGAAAACAAAATGTGCAAGAAATCAAAATGGCATTTGCTTGGGCTGAGAATACTGCGGGCTTGTGTCTCAGCCAACAATCCATTTTCCATCCAGTTCCAACCATAAATCTTCTGCTGCCGTTCAGCCTCTGCGGTGGACTGTGTGGCGCAGATTTCAGCCAATGAGTCAAGCGCCCGGAAAATGTCTTCATCAGTGGCACGCAAAAAAGTATTGGGGTTCGATTCAGTGATATCACGTAAGACGTCGTTTTCCTCCAGACCAAACTTTTTGCCATGTCTTTTGCTTATGACATTGTAGCATCTCTGGCAAGGCTTTGTGCCAGCTGCCCCCTTGCACTGCAAAATAAGTTTCATGGCCTGCTCGTCGCTGATTAGTCCATGCATTTGTAAACGTACCAAATGAGGCTGACCATTGACACTGACAACAAAGCCGCCCTGGGAGAGAATTCCTGCAGGCTCTGTTGACCAACGCAGGAGAAGATTCCTGATCACATGTGACAGCCCACCATCGATATCACCATTGACCTTGTCATGGCAAATGACTCCAGCTGTCAACCAGAACGCTTCAGAACTCAACCTCCAACAAAGTTCCAAAAATGAAATGTAGATAAGCCAGCATTTCTTTCCAGTAATGGGGTTCAATACGTTTCCACTGGTCGTTTCATCAAGGTAAAGTACCACACGTAGTGGACCAGCTCTGTTCATCAAGGCACCGACCAGGCCTGATGCGAACGCTGGTGACTTGCTGCAATACAGTTGCAAGAGCTTCTCAATGTTGGTGACATAGACCACCAACTTCCAAAGTCTCTACAAAATTTCGTTTGTACTGTTGGCTGACCGCAGTTGCAGCATTTTGCAATCGTTTCAGCTCCTGCTCAAAGAGTCCATCACTCTCTGGCACGTCCTGGCCATTGAAAGTGATAGCCACGCGCGCAGCTTGGGCTATGGAGCATTTCTTTACTTGCAGCAATCGAACGGCTTTATCCTTTGGAATATGCCAAAGATCACTGCTCAATTTACGTTTCCCCATCGCTGGAGCCAACAACATGGATATACTGGGATGTTGAAGTTTGATTGAACTAGATTCTAGAAGCAAGGACATCTGGTCTGAGGAAGAATGACAAAATTAACTATTTAATGCAAACATTACCAGCAGGAAGAGCGTCCCGAAGGCCGCTGTCAACTGAGGCGCCTGTTTTTGCACGATAGGAGATCGAATCCGTCCATCGAATCACCACTGGCCCCTGTACCTAAAGCACGACGGGGTGCAACCAGGCTTCCATCTGCATTTCGGGCAACCATCTGGGTATCTCTTGTTCGCCCATGGTGGCTTCAGTGGCTTCGCAGGTCGGCCATCCATAGGTCCATGGCCTTTCACTTTCTCTGAACCTTTCACACCCTGTGGGCATGTCTTTTTCTTTGGCGGCGCAGAAGGTCGCTTCATCGTCATTGTCTGTTTACCGGCTGGCCTCTTGAAGATTTGTGGCTCACGCTGCTTGGCTTCCTTGTCCACTTCCATTTTCTTCCGAAGCTCTTCAGCCACAGCCTCAATGGATGGTCCAGGACGATCACCAGGCACCTCATTTTCTGAAGTTGGCTTGGCTTCAGCTTTGGCAAGCTCGCAAAAGGCATCCTCTCTTGGAGAGGCTGGGGCCGGCAAAGCCAATGAAGCCACTGAAGGAGACGGAGCTGGAGCTGGAGGTACTTCCGATGCAAGAGACGGCACTGGGTCTCGAGGTAAAGCCGATGAAGTAGCCGGCGCTGGTAAAGCCAACGAAGGAGCCGGTGCTGGAGGCAAGGCCAGCATTGGCCTAGCAGGCGGCCGATTCAACAACTGCAAATTTATGTCTTTCTCCAAGCCATCGAAAGACTTGCTTCGGTGCATCGCAGCAGGAACCCCGATGGTCAAAGGTGTCCTTGATGAACTCGAAGCGCCTGAAGACAAAGACTGGAGGGTGGGTAGCCGCTCTCGCACGCCCTGCTGAATGAGCAGCAAAGTCGGCGTCGGCTCGCACCTTGCTTCATCCTGAAAGCCCACTGCTTGCCATTCAGGAGAGAATTCGGCCGGATCATCCGGCAGCATAGTCACATAAGGCAAATGGTTGGTTGCTTTGACGTCCAGGCATGACAGGTGTTTCTTCATCTGCGCCTTGACCTTCACAAACAGGTCATGTTTTTGAAAATCGTCCATGTTCTGGCCACTGCGGTGGATGAGCAAAGATGCGATCATGCTATTCGTCTTCTCCGAAGGAAGCCTCAATCCAAGGCCAGCCAAATGCCGTGCAAGTACGGCGACAAACTTCTCAGGGTGCCACTGACTTAGATGCATTCAATGTCTCAAACCCAGACAAAATGTTGTCGCGTGCGTTCAATGTTTCAAACCCTGACAATGCATTCAGTGTTTCAAAGCCAGACAAAAGTATTACGCGTTCATTCAATGTTTCAAATCCTGACAATGCACTCAATGTTTCAATATTTCAAATCCAGAACCATTTAACACATGTATTACATGCTTCTGTTCCACACATGTTCAATCATCGGTCTCGTGGGTCAACAAAAGCCTTTCAAAACGCAAGCCTGGATACTCTCCAAGCAAAGCCAACCAAACGCTGGAGGTGAGGTAGCGCGGAAAGGCCTGGAAGTTCTGAAGAGCACGGCGGTTCTTGTCATTGGCACCAGGCTCCTTTTCCACTTTCATCTTCAAACACACATGTTGTTGGAGCTGCGCCAGCTGCTCCGCCGTCCAAGGCATGCCACTGAGCTTCTCTACCACAACGGAAGCTTCAGCGACATCCAGCGAAGCGGATTTCAGCCTTGCCCTGCATGCCATATACTGATTCGACCGAATGGTCTGCAAATCAGGGTTCGAACCCATGGCCTTCAGAAAACGATCCACCGCCTCTAAGAAAGGCAACGTCATGGTGCAGGTTTGGCCCGCACCCTTCATGCCCAAAACTGGCAGAGTCTCAAACCAATACAATGCCATTTGCAACATGAACTTCTGAAAAACTGCGCAAAAGCATGGCAAATTGCTTCATCTAGATGAAGTGTCCAGCGCGTGAAATAAGTAGAAATAAGTAGAAATGCTAAGTAGAAATAAGTAGGACGAAGTAGAAATAAGTTATTGCACATAGAAGCACTTAGTTGAACTTATTTCGCTAAGTTGACTTTAAGTTCCATAAGTGCGAGGGCTCCTACTTGTGGAACTTAAAGTCTATAAGGTGAACTTATAGAACTTGTAGTTGTACTTGTAGAACTTGTAGTACAACTTATGAACAGCTTATTTTGCCTCATGTACACTTGAGAACGAGCTAGTCGGCAAGTACATACATACATACTTACTTACATACATACATACACACATACATAACAGTACATAACGTAACGTAGCGGCGTAGCGTAACATAACATAACATACATTCACACACACACTCACATACACACACACATACATACATACATACATACACACAAGCATACATGACATGACATGACATGACGTGACATTACAATACATTACGTAACGTAAGGTAACGTAACGTAGCATAGCGTAACGTAGTGTAACGTAACATACATACATACATACATGGCTCAAGGCTCAAGCCGTGAAGCTGCTCAAGCCTGCAGCCAACCAAGACAGGATAGTGTGGAAACCCCTCTCGAACATAGTTCGGGACTTTGAGGACAAGCAAGGCCCATCGCGAAGTTCAATTAGAACACATTCTTTGCTCACAATTCTCGACCTCACCTTGCACTTTCCTGACAAGCTCTTCGGTGACCGGCAGATCTCGCCTGGCTATATCCCTGTGATTTCCCGGGTGACTGGACCCTTATCACTGCCAAGTCCACCCCCAAGTTGCCCACTTGCCTGACAACTCCTAGGCGACAAAGCTGCCCCTCTCCAGGGACTATGACGCCACAATGGGGCCGCGCGTACATGACTTGTACCAAACACGGCTGCCACAACTGGATCTGGACAGATCAAGTGAAACCTGGCACAAAATGCCGTGGACGCGGGACATGGTGGACAACCTCAACAGGAGGCACTGGCAAAGGAAAAGGATATGGGAGACCAACAAACAAGAATACGAACAGCCAGCCATGGATTGACTCTCCACCGGGACTTGGCAAGATGAAGCCCAGAGGAGCAAGATGCAACAGGAGGCCACGGATTTGCTTTCCACCAGCTGGTCAACCCTGCCGGAAGAGACACAAACACGTTTGCAAGCTCTTGGCATTGGTCCGAGCAAGCCAGAAGAACCCGAGCTGACTGACATCCTACAACAGATAGTCACCAAACTCACGGCGCCAGAACCATGCACTGAGCGAGAAATCGCCACGAAGCTCAAGGGCCA